CCCCTGTAGATTTCTTCCAGAATGTTTATATATACTTCATCTACGCCCTGATTCCGCAGTGTCTGCATGACGGCTGATATTTCTACTGAATCAAATGCCTTCTCGTAATCTATGAACGCTATGTATAGTGGTTGGTTATACTCTGAGCATTTCTCTATTACCTGATTGATAGTATGAATGTGGTCAATTGTTGAGTAGCCTGTTCGAAATCCTGCTTGTTCCTTTAGTTGATTGAATTCTAATGTTTTCTTTACTCTGTTTGCTCCTTTGGTTGATTGAATTCTAATGTTTTCTTTACTCTGTTAGCAATTACCTTTGTAAATAGCTTGTATACTACAGAGAGCAAGCTGATCGGCCTGTAATTCTTCAAGTCCTTGTCATCTCCTTTCTTATGTATTAAGATGATGTTAGCGTTCTTCCAAGACTCTGGTACCCTTCCCGTCAGGAGACACCTCGTAAACAGAGTCGCTAGTTTTTCTAACACAATCTGTCCTCCATCTTTCAGCAGATCTGATGTTACCTGATCCTCACCAGCAGCTTTGCCCCTTTGCATGCTCTCCAAAGCTTTTCTGACTTCTTCTATCATTACTGGTGGGGTGTAATCTGGGTTACTGCTAGCTCTTATAGTATTAAGGTCGTGGTTGTCTCGGCTACTGTACAGATCTCTGTAAAACTCCTCCGCTATTTTAACTATCCTATCCATATTGGTAGTTATTTTGCCTTCTTTGTCCCTTAGTGCATACATCCGACTTTTGCCTATCCCAAGTTTCCTCTTCAATGCTTTGACACTTCCTCCGTTTTTCAGAGCGTGTTCAATTCTCTCCATGTTATACCTTCTTACATCGCATACCTTACGTCTATTAATCAACTTCGAAAGCTCTGCCAGTTCTATTTTGTCTGTTGTACTTGAGACTTTTATGACTTGACGCTTCTTAATTAGGTTCTTCGTTTCCTGGGAAAGCTTGTCAGTGTCCTGTCTAACTACCGTGCCTCCAACTTCCACTGCACACTCCGTAATGATACTCGTCAGATTATCATTCATTGTATCTACGCTAAGGTTGGTTTCCTCACTAAGAGCCGAGTACCTGTTCTGCAGCGACACTCTGAATTCCTGTACTTTCCCTCTCAGTGCTAGCTCATTGATTGGCTTCTTGCGTATCAGTTTCTGTCGTTCCTTCTTCAAGTCTAGGCGAATTCGACACCGTACCATTCTATGGTCACTGCATCGTACCTTGCCAACCACTTCCACACATCCTGCACGATTTCTGGGTGTGCAGTCATTATAAAGTCTATTTCGTTCTTATTCTCGCCATTAGGGCTCCTCCATGTCCACTTGCGGTTTTCTCGTTTTCGGTAGAAGGTATTCAAAATCCGCAAATTATTGCGTTCTGCGAATTCTACTAGTAGCTCTCCTCTGGCGTTTCTAGCGCCGATGCCATAATCTCCTACTGCCTGGTCTCCATCCACATATATGACATATTTAATTGTGTGATTTATGTTTATAATGCCGTTGACATAAGTGATAAAAAGTAACGGCCCCAATATACTACCTTGGGGTACACCTTGAGCAAGTTTTTGAAAAAGATGATTGTTCTGTGTTTATACTTACACACTGTAGCCTATTTCTCAAATAACTGGTGATTAAGTTTAGCGTATTTTCTCTAATGCCACAATAGGGCAATTTTTGTAAGAGGGTATTGTGATTTATCCGGTCAAAGGCTTTATAGAAGTCAACAAATATGCCTAGCGTAATTTTCCTGTCCTCTATATTACCTACTATAATTTCCTTTTGACGTAACAATACTACCTCTGTCAACAGCCCTGACCTAAAACCGTACTGGGCTGGAGTAATTTTCGAACGTTTCGCAAAGAAGTTCGACAGTCTTATAAATATTAACTTTTCTATGGGCTTTGAAAACAATGGTAGAACAGATATGGGCCTATAGTTCTTCAAATCATTTTTGCCTCCTCCCTTAAACAGCACTGTAACTTTTGCATGCTTCATACGTTCTGGGAAAATACCTGTGCCTAAAATTAGGTTATAAATGTATGTTAAGGGCATGACTAATATATCTATGACAGGACAGACTGGGGCCATCTTTAAACCATCAATACCTTCTAATTTCTTTTCTTTAGATTTTTGAAAACACCCATAACCTCGTATTCATCTGTTGGGGAAAGATAAACTGACGAAGCTACTGTCTGTGCGGACATGTAATGTAGTGCGGTAGTGTCCCTGACACTGTCTACTAAGAAAGTCAGGTGTTTATTGAATTTCTCAGCCAATGCTTTGCTCCTGTATGTTCTATCGCCTTCAGTTATCTCTTCTACATTAAATTTAACTTTATGTAATGCAGTAATTGAATTTAACTTGCTCCACATCTCCTTGACCCCTGAGACGCCCTCGAACATGCAAGAATAATAACTGCGCTTCGCTTTTTTCATAATTTTAGTTAAGTTATTTCTATATATTCCCGAAAAGAATCCAATGCGTCTGGATCGTGATTCTTCAAAAATATTTGATACACATCCAAAGCACTGCAAAACGGCAATCCCCTATGGTCAGGCACTGCGTTTTAAGAAAATATGTTCGAAAAATGCAGATTTTACAGATAACTGCACCAAACTTTGGGAGACCCTACAGAAACAAAAATTTCCCCACAAATCATTAACGATGCTATTAAACAGGCTGAAGACATTGACCGTAAGAAACTCTTTATTCGGAAGAAGAATGCCGCACCCTCAAGCACGAGCCTGTTTATAACACATTCCGCATCAGCACTAAACATCAACAGTAATCTGCAGAAGCATTACAACATACTAATACAGAATGATCATCTTAAAAAAATTTTTCCTGATCCCCCACGTGTGGTATATCGCAGATCGAAGAACTTACGCGACATACTAACCTCATCAAGGATTAACGCCACCACTTTTTTTGGTTGTCATCCATGCAACAAACCCCGTTGCAAAGTTTGTAACCATATGACGAAGACAACTTTGATTAAGAGTACAGCATCAATTTTTCATCTAAAAATTAAAGGGGATTTTGACTGCGACACAAGCAACATTGTGTACATGCTTGAATGCTCTTTGTGCAAACTCCAATACATCGGACACACTGAAACGCCTTTTAGACTGTGCTTTAATAACCATAAGTCATATGCCACAAGCCTACCCAATCTACCTTTGTCTAAGCACGTTAACATTCCTGGTCACTCATTCAATAAACTAAGAGCTACTATACTGGAATCAGGTTTCCCTTCACACTATGATAACGAACTGTGCGAGTCATTTCTGATACACAAGTTCAACGCGATCTTAACCGGTATAAATGAAAATCCAGGCAAACTGACGTTTCTTTCGGCGCAGAACTAAGTACTAGTTTCATCACAGTCTGTTCATAATCACTGTACACGCAGATTTTCACTACTCCTTTTCGGTGCAGTGAATTTCTTGACTTCGTGTCATCAATTCTGTTTGTGCCCCATAAAATTCTTCGTTACGCATCTTGTTCCATTCAATTTTCTGCTATACTTTTCTGTCTTTTTTTTGTGCGTGTGATTTGCTGTATGGATTTGATAGTTTTGTTTGTAGATATTACTGAACTTTTCAAACTGCTATTCATGTGATCTACTTGATGTTAACACCATTCATGCATTCTTATAATCTTTCTTTGACATTGCTTTGACATTCTCTGCTCACCGTTCATTACTCACCACGTCACAGTAGATAGTGTATGATAGTGATAGTTCACGTGTCAGGGGCCCTTGATATACCATGCCTACTTAAGAAAAGCGCATTTTGTATCGTGTTTTCCATGATAAAGGCCGGTCGCCGGCTGAAATGCAGGAAAAATTAAAAGTTCATATATATATATATATATATATATATATATATATATATATATATATATATATATATATATATATTAGTGGGAGTATATATATATATAGTGGGAGTAATAATTCAATGGTCCAGTTAGTCTTCTTGAAGGTACGGGATATGGCACAACGGGATCGTTGTCAACAAGGATAAATATATTTATTTCCCAACAGTTTCGGGAGGGGTCCTCCCTTCATCATCCCATGAGTATAACTCATCCCCTGATGAAGGGAGGACCCCTCCCGAAACTGTTGGGAAATAAATATATCTATCCTTGTTGACAACGCTCCCGTTGTGCCATATATATATATATATATATATATAGGATATCGTGAGATGATGCCATATACCACGAAACGTTTCCTATACTATTTACAACACAAGTGCATTAGCCAAAAACCGCACATCCGGTGAAAGAACGCAATGAGGATGACTACGATGACTTGTATGCACAGGCTAAGATGATGAACTACATACACAGTCAGTGCTCAAACTAGGTATCTTTATTGGAGTAAATGTGGTATATGGTGCTACATTTCTTTTCAAAGCCCTATATTTTTCTCGTGTTGCTTGCCATCATTTTGATATGTTTTTTTAATTACACTGTTTCAAACTGTGAACAAGGCTCCCGCGTGGGAAGCCGAAACGTCTTTTTAAGTTCTGTGTATTTCACCTTGGTCGGCGTTTTTGTTTTTGTTATTTTGCACTACTGTTTAAAACTAAAGACATATGCTCTTCCTCTTCTCACAAATATTTTAGTGCAATTAATGAACCAAGATTCTTTTGACGGATTCAAAAAAGGCACAAATTGGAGGAACCTAACACATGTTTAGGTTTTCTGGTGCCAGGCACTTTGGATTTCAGCATAGGCCCACAGAAAAAAGGCTTAGTATAGCTCTGTATTTTTCAAATAAGCATACCAAGCACAAGCTGCAAAGGTAGCACCCGGAAGATATGTCGAATCACCCACAGGTTAATCACTCTGCAGCTAAACCAATACATAAAAAAAAAACATCTCAATGGCACAAGGGCATCTAGATAAAAAAAATTGCCACAAAGTTTCTGCGACCAGGGTGAAAAAGAGAAAGTTTCATGCCATTTTCACTTTATATTACCTTTTCTGTGGCACTCTGCAGGAATTTCTGCAGCTGCGTCACCTCCTCTTCTAGCCTGGATTGTTGTTTATCAGCTTGCTGCTGCCTGGTCTCAAGCTCCTTCATCAGGCACTTATTCTCCATCTCAGCCGAGGCCAGCAGTTTTTTCAGCTTTGCAAGCTCTGCATATTTCATGCACCAAGAAAAACAGTTAAATCAATCATCTGTCTCATCGGTATGTATGCAGCTTGATGGTCTTGCGAAGAAGCACACAAAGGCTTTACTGAAAAAAATGCAATTACTACCTGTCCAAAACACACAGGCACCTCCATTCACCAGATTGTGTTTCTCGTGGATTTATCTTCACACTGTTACAAATGCCATGGCCTCACAAGTATACTGTGGCACGTTTGTACATTCTTAAGGCTAGAACAGTGAAAGTGGACAACTTTTACTTGTGCCGTTTTCATAGTTGTGTAACATACATAAAAATGAGAGAACTTGCAAACAAGTGAACATTGTGTTTCCCGCAAGACGGAGTGAGGCTCACAATCATACAACTGCACTGCACAGTAGGAATTTCCATTTTCTCCATGAATCAATATTCCTATACAGCAGGGAAGCTTGTTTTTATTAGTGCAGATAATTAGTTACAATAACATATTTGAGTTGTGCAGGATGAATGGGAACAATACTGCACAAGTTTTAGTCAACGATAGTACTCCTTTTTATGGCTTGATTAACATTAGCTGAGACACCCTCACCACAATGTGCAATTTACCATAGGACCTGATTACTGACATGAATGTTATTTTATTTACTGGGCTTCAGCAGGTGCAACCACCAGTTCGGTTACCTCTACACAATATAACTCCCCTAATTGATTGCTGTGGAAAACAGCTAAAAAGTACACAGGATTCAGGTCCTTGCCAGCTTTCAGGTTCTTGCTATAGTGCTTGTGGGTTAGTGTCACATGCATGTGCTGTCAACAAGTGATCTGTGCACTTGCAACCATGAGACACTGCACATCTATGACTACAATTAAACCTCTAAAGAGAACATGTCTGCTATCTTTTGAAAAATTTACAATTGTTGTAGCCTTATCCACGTACATCTTCACCAGTATCTTTAGGGCTATAACTTTCTATTTCACCACTCAATTCAGCATGCAGTCATTTTTTTCTGATATAATTTTACCTACAACCTCTCGGAAGCTGTGGCATTCGGCTGCCAAGCTTCAGGTGCGCCTTCTGAATGTAAATTTTGAGGTGGGCTTTGGAATCTGCTCAGTGAAATTATACATTGCAAAGTCCTCAAGTGATCAGAATATGCTCTTTGGCAGTGATGAAAGCAACATTTTGATTTTAAGAGCAGATTCTGGAGTAAAAAAAATGGTGTTTTGGAGTAGCCATAGGTGTTTTTGAAGCAGATAGCAAGATATTCTAAATGACTCTGGTGTTTTGAGTGTCATCTAAGCATCGTATAAAAATGAATGCTTATCAAATACGTTGCACATAAAAAGCTCCTTCAAAGCATGAAACGCCCCGCCACGGTGGCTAAGGTACTTGGCTCCTGACCCACAGATCGCAGGATAAAATCCCAGCTGCCGTGGATGCGTTTTCGATGGAGGCGAAAATGCTGCAGGCCCTTGGGCTTAGATTTAGGTGCACGTTAAAGAACCCCAGGTGGTTGAAATTTCCAGAGCCCTCCACTATGGCGTCTCTCATAATCATATGGTGGTTTTGGGACGTTAAATCCAACACATCAATCAAAAAGCATGAAACAAACAATGAAGCAGATTGTCACTGAACTCTCAGTAAGATGAGCTACCTACCTATAATTAAAATGTGAATACCTGTAATAGAAATCATACAGAAGCGATTTACCTGAGCACCAAATTGCAAAAGCTGCCACTGCCAAATTTACATCCTGCCGAAGCAGCAGTTTATAATCGGCAGGAGTACTGTATGCTATATTTATATTTTTCACCAAAAGAGTCAGCCTTGGAAATTTCAAAAGTAAAATGGGCTAAATGAGTTATACACCTGAAATGTCTGTTCTTGTGGCATAAATGAGCTCAAAGCTGACAAAGTCGTAATAAATGCTATCAGTCTTACATAAAAGTTGTTACAGATACAGTTAGTATTAATAATCATAATGATGCTTGACTAGTCCAACACATTTTGCAAACTTAGTCTGTTTGTCATGCTTCTGTAACAACTTTGATGTAAAACAATATATACATATATATATATCCGTAGGGAAGAACACGCACGTACGAAGTGATTTTATTGACGTTTCGTTCGCGGGTCCGCCCTTCATCAGAATACAGATTATGGCACGAGTGCTGTTTATATACATGTGCATATCAATAAGATACAAATATTAAAACCGGCATGAAAGGCGATATATGGGCATATATATATATATGCAAGTCACACAATTTGAAGGGCACCTGATACACGAGTAAAAAGATATCGTTTCCATGCGCGAGCACGTGGCGAGCACGTTGCTTACAAATAAAAGATAAAACGCATAAAAGATAATGCACATAACATGAAGAAGAGTCCGACCGGTAATAGCAAGGGGAAAAAGAAGAAAAAATAATAAACTAATAACAAAAACTCACAAAGAAAGATGTTACAAAGCTGCTACGTAATCAACTGATACAGAAAATGTAGTGCGACTTGCTGAGCAAGGTCGAAACAGGATAGACAGGGTGACACAGGTTACGCAGATAGGCAACTAAGTTTTCCTGCGTTTTCATTTAGACCAGATGTGACGGCGTCAAACTTATAGATGAGGAATGATTCACGAGCTTCTCTATCATAATTTGTGCGGAAACCAGATTTTAGTAATGTGACCTGTAGATTTTCAAAAGAGTGGTCAGGGAGGTGCATGTGTCTTGAAATGGGCAAGTGGGGCAAGGTGTTAGCATAAGATTTATGGTTGTTAAAACGCAGTCTAAAAGGCCCTTCTGTTTGACCAATATACTGTATTTCACATAGCGCACATTCTATTATGTATATCACGTTCTTAGAATTGCAGTCAAGATTGCCTTTGATTTTTAAGGAAAAGTTTGAACCAGTACTGGTGACTTCTTGGCATGTGCGCATGTACGGGCATACTTTGCATCGCGGTTTTTGGCAAGGATGGCACCCGATCGTGTCAGGGCTGTCTGCTTTCAACGATGATGACGATGAGAGTATGTCTCGAATATTTTTAGCTTTGCGATACACTGCTTTAGGTGGTTCGGTGAAAATGGTTCTTAAGCGTTCACTTTGCATTAGAATATTGCGGTGCTTTCTCAGCACATTCGAAACACGTGCAACTGACGCAGAATGGGTAAGGACTAAGTTTGTCTGCGGTGAGGGAGTCGAGTTTTTAGCAGCGCACAACAGCGTTCTACGATTATGCATGTCGGCACGTTTTATTGCGTCATCAATTAATTGCAGCGGATATTTTTGTTTGACTAGAGCATCCTTTAGTGTTCTGCAATTTTTTCGAAACTCTGATTGCTCTGAGCAGATTCTTTTAAAGTGTAAGTTCTGACTGTAAGGGATGCTAGTTTTGCAATGTTTCACGTGGCTACTGTCAAAGTGCAAATACTGTTGCCAGTCTGTAGGCTTCCTGTATAGAGTAGTGGATAGCTTATCATTTACAACCGAAATGCTTACAACAAGAAAACTAAGCGTTGATGTGGAATAGGTGTGAGAAAATGATATTGATGGATGGGCATCATTAAAGTCAAATATGAAGGAAAGCAACTCCTGTTCACCATGCGGCCAAATAAGGAAAATGTCATCGATGTAACGTTTATAATAAAAAGGTTTCAGCGCGCGGGTTTGCAAAAATTCACTTTCAAGCTGGACCATGAATATATTGGCGTAGTTGGGTCCAATACGCCTACTCTATAACGTGCCGCTAACTTGGACATAGTGTTGCCCTTCAAATTGAAAATTATTTAGCTCTAAAATGAGCCTGAGCAATACTGCTAACGTGTTGCTGTTGATAAATTTGCCCGGTGATGCTGCTTCATAGGACCTGACGACTGCCGCTATTCCGTCTACATGCGGAATGTTGGTGTATAAAGACGCTACGTCTAGCGTGACCAAAAAAGAACCTTGAGGAATAATCAGATCAATTATAGCAGAAACGAAGTCGGTAGTGTCCCTAACGTAAGACGAAAGTGATGCTGGGATACTACTGATTAGAGAATCGACATAGCTGGACAATTTTTCTGTGACAGTACCTATATCTGAAATGATGGGACGGCCGGGGTTGTTTATCTTGTGTATTTTAGGCAAAAGGTAAAAACGACCGGGAACAGGACTTAGGGGAATAAGAGAATGAATCGCATTGTCAGGCACCTTTTCGTTTTCCAGAAGCTCTAGCGAAGTGCTCTGGACAAGAGATTTAAATTATTCAGTGGGGTCATGATCCAGACGCTTGTAAAAACTCGTGTCTGCGAGCTGTCTTTGGGCCACTGCTTCGTAATCAGACTTGTTCAATACGACAACAGCCCCATCTTTGTCCGCAGGCTTGATGACGATGTCCTTGCGACAGGACAAGGCATTTAGTCTTTTCATTTCACTGGTGGATAGGTTACGGCAAAACGGTGTTTGCTGCCGATACGACTGTAGTACGTCTCGTTGTACAGCTTTGATATACATATCTAAGCATCTGTCTCGTTGTGAGGGAGGTACCCAACGTTTTCCAGAAGGTGATGCACTCGTGGAACCATTTGTATTTTGCCGGTCATGAAAAAACTCGCGCAAGCGTAAGTTGCGGGCAAAATTATCCAAGTCTTTCAGTAATTGAAATTCACTGTGTCTGCCTGTAGCAGGACAGAAATTGAGATCTTTCACACTAACTCCCCTGCCTCGGGTCAACATGCTCTGGAATTTCGTCGGCCGTACCACCATCTGTGGCTGCCTTCAATTCCCCACACTTCCGCGGCTTCCAAGATGACGCCAACAATTGGGTCGCCACTGTCAACACTTTCAGAGCTTGCAATACATAGACTAAAGAGCAGAAGTGGGGCATGGCCATAGATAGCCCCCGAAACGCTGCTACGGTGTGGGACACTGCAGGTATGAAGGCGCGAGGCCCGAGTCCTGGGCAGACTGGAGCACCAGTTTCATCCCTGCGTTTAGACGGATTCACTACGACCTCACTGCCC